TCCTGCTGATTCTGTGTGGACAACACAGGTAAAGTTTGTGCTAGTTTCCAGACTTAACATTGAGCAAAGGTAAATCTGCTTCCATTTTTCACCTTGGTGTATCTGCCCCCTGTTCCTAGTAATAACCAAATAAGCAGTTTAATTGGTTGAGATTTTCCCCATAGAGTTGAATATTTAAAGGCTGTACAGGACAAATGGAGTTTGTAAAAATATGAAAGTAATATCTTCACATTCCATCTAAGGGGAGCTTTGGGTTTTGTTTTATTGTTGTTGTTGCTTTTTTCCTTGTTGGAAATAGCTGTAGAAATCAGGGTTTACTCCTGCTTGGGTTTTTTTTGTTGTTTTTTTACTCCTGCTTGTTTTTTTTTTTTTTTTTTTTTTCGGTACGCGGGCCTCTCACTTTGCAGTACGCGGGCCTCTCACTGTTGTGGCCTCTCCCCTTGTGGAGCACAGGCTCAGCGGCCATGGCTCACGGGCCCAGCCGCTGCCCGGCATGTGGGATCTTCCCGGACCCGGGGCACGAACCCGCGTCCCCTGCATCAGCAGGCGGACGCTCAACCACTGCGCCACCAGAGAAGCCCCCTGCTTGGTTTTTAATTGATACTCAGTTGCTACTTGATAGTTGGCTGTTATTTTTATGCATTTTGCAGAAAGTAAAGCTGAGATCCTGGGGGAGGGGAGGTGGGCAAGTGGCATGAGCTCTCTGCAGAAGGCAGCAGTTTGAAATCACTCCTTTGACTTAGTTCCAGAGGCATGACCCATCTCATATGCATGTCTTGTTTTCCTAAGCCTTTGTTTCACACCTGTGTTTTCAGGGAAATGGGAGTGTCCTTGGCATCAGTGTGACATCTGCGGAAAGGAAGCAGCCTCCTTCTGTGAGATGTGTCCCAGCTCCTTTTGTAAGCAGCATCGGGAAGGGATGCTCTTCATCTCCAAACTGGATGGGCGTCTGTCTTGTACTGAGCATGATCCCTGTGGGCCCAACCCTCTGGAACCTGGGGAGATCCGTGAGTATGTACCTCCTATAGTACCGCTGCCTCCAGGCCCAGGCACTCACCTGGCAGAGCAATCATCAGGAGTAGCTGCTCAGGGGCCCAAGATGTCGGACAAGCCATCTGCTGACACCAACCAGATGCTGTCGCTGTCCAGAAAAGCTCTGGCAGGGACTTGTCAGAGGCCACCGCTGCCTGAAAGGCCTCCTGATAGAACTGACTCCAGGCCCCAGCCTGTAGATAGGGTCAGGGACCTTGCTGGGTCAGGGACCAAACCCCAATCCTTGGTATCCAGCCAGAAGCCATTGGACAGGCCACCTGCAATGGCAGGACCAAGACCCCAACTATCTGACAAACCCTCTCCAGTGACCGGCCCAAGCTCCTCACCCTCAGTCAGGTCACAGCCACTGGAAAGACCTCTGGGGACAGCTGACCCAAGGCTGGATAAATCCATAGGTGCTGCCAGCCCAAGGCCCCAGTCACTGGAGAAAACCCCTGTCCCTACTGGCCTGAGACTTCCGCAGCCAGACAAACTGCTAGTCACCAGCGGTCCCAAACCCCAGACTTCAGACAGGCCCCCCGAAAAATCCCATGCCTCTTTGTCCCAGAGACTCCCACCTCCTGACAAAGTACTATCAGCTGTGGTCCAGACCCTGGTAGCTAAAGAAAAAGCACTGAGGCCTGTGGACCAGAATACTCAGTCAAAAAATAGAGCTGCTTTGGTGATGGATCTCATAGACCTAACTCCTCGCCAGAAGGAACGGGCAGCTTCTCCCCATGAGATCACACCACAGGTTGATGAGAAGATGCCAGTGTTGGAGTCGAGCTCGTGGCCTGCCAGCAAAGGTCTGGGACAGATGTCACGAGCCATTGAGAGAGGCATTGTGTCAGATCCTGTCCTTCAGCCACCGGGCAAAGCAGCGGCCCCTTCAGAGCACTCCTGGCAAGCTGTTAAATCACTCACCCAGGCCAGACTTCTTTCTCAGCCCCCTGCCAAGGCTTTTTTGTATGAGCCAGCAACTCAGGCCTCAGGAAGAGCACCTGCAGGGGCTGAGCAGACCCCAGGGCCTCCCAGCCAAGCACCAGGCCTGGTGAAGCAGATGGCCGGAGGCCAGCAACTACCTGGACTTGCTGCCAAGAGTGGGCAGTCCTTCAGGCCTCTTGGGAAGGCCCCATCCTCCCTCTCCACTGAAGAGAAGAAGTTGGCAACCACAGAGCAGAGTCCCTGGGCCTTGGGCAAGGCCTCACCGGGGCCAGGGCTCTGGCCCATGGTGGCTGGACAGACACTGGCACAGTCTTGCTGGTCCTCTGGGAGCACACAGACATTGGCACAGACTTGCTGGTCTCTTGGGAGAGGGCAAGACCCTAAATCAGAGCAAAATACCCTTCCAGCTCTTAACCAGGCTCCTTCCAGTCACAAGTGTGCAGAGTCAGAACAGAAATAATACCAGTAAATGCCACATGACCAGACCAGCTGCCCCCAGGGTTCTTGGGGAAGGGAAAAATCTTCTTTTTCCCTCTTAAAAAACAGACAGACCCCAACACTTTTCCACTGATATTCTCTCCTTATATCCCAACATTCAGAGCTCCTGCGACATTAGCCAGTGGGGGCTTGTGGTTGTGTGAACCATGTATGGAAATCCAAGTGGGCCCCAGCCAAGGAGACAGACAGACTCGGGTCTCTTTCCCCCAACCTTTACTCATGGTGAACTTGAAATAAAAAGTCCACTCTGGAGTCAAGCATGGGATTCAATTCCGCTGGTCAGGTTGAAGGTAGAGGGGCTCTCTAAGCTATTTCTCTAGCCCTACCAAGCCCCACTGAGGGTACCTGATGAACCCCTGGGAGGAACTGATACCCATTCAAATCGGTGGTGATTTCTTGAACATTCATGTGTGCTAGGCCTGGTGCTAGTCACTGGCAGGAGATACAGAGATAAATAAGACCTGATCCCTGTGAGCCTAACATGCTTGCCTGGGTTCCCAGGTTATTTTTAAAGAACCTTTGACCAGGAAATAACAGGAAGTTTGAGGGGCCCTGGGGCTCCGGGTTCATTTTGTCATGTCCTTTGTGGCCCCAGAAGTGGTTGTTTTGAGTGTCTCCTGGTCAGGTGTGCCTGTGTGTATGTGCATGCGTGTACACTCATGCGGAGGTCTCCTCTATAGGCAGGTAGGGCCTGTTGGCTGGGCAGCCTCTGCTGCTTCTGTCTGGGCTCTGGAGAGTCTAAAGATCTGTTCTTGGTGGAGCAGTTGGTTGGGGGGCTGGGCTCTGTGAGGACACAGCTTTCCCTCAGTGTAAGAAGGCAATTGGCAAGCTTACCTTTCTTTTCTACAGATTTTCCTCCTTTTACATCAACCCACCCCATGCCTGTCCCCCAAACACTCAGGTGCTTTCAGATTTCAGAGTCTCGGGCAGTAGACCTAGGGAATCTCTGGCAAGCTCTGGGCTAGATCCACCACCAGCTCAGGGAGAGTGCCAGATCCTGGCAAGAAATTACTTCTCTCCTGATCCTTTGCCCTCCTACCTGAATGGAGGGAGTCTTCTTCACTAGTGGATTCTACCACCCTCTTCCTGAGAAATGCTGTGCTCTGTATTGAGAGCACCTGCCTGCTGACTTAGCTCAAAGGCAAGCCAGAACCCTTCCCCATGACTGGCAAGATGTGGCGTTTAGAGTAATGTCCAGTCCAAGAGATGACTCCTCATAACTGCTGATTATCTGTTACTGCTGCCCTGAGCTGGGGCCCAAGGGCTGGGAAATCTGTTGGTGCTACCCTGCCCTACCATTCACCCAGCTCACTGACTGCCAACAGGAAGTGCTGTTTGGCCAGTTCCTTCCCATTCACCCACCCCTTCTTTGTCCCTAGACCAAACATGTTTACCTCTCTGCTTTGCCAACTTAGCCAGCAGCTTTAGCCAACAGGCCATCTCCTGGCCCCAAGGTCTCCTGGCCATTTCTGTCTCAGTTATGGCTTTTACACCCTCAATAGGATTCTGTATTTTGTCCCAATTTCCTCCTGAGTTTCTATTGAGGTTACTCCCATACTTCTAAGGAGGGAACAACTGTTGTTATAGAAGCATTTGCGCTTTATATAAAGATTTTAAAAAGAATTTGCTTTTATTTCCCAAAGTCTGTCTCTGGGGTTGAGACATGTGAACTCAGGCAGAGGCATGAGGCTGGGCAGGGCTGCCCTGAGTTTAGGGGCCTATTGCATCTCTCTTAGACCTCAGACTCTCCTCTGTAAATTCCACCTGCCTAGTTCTCCCCTTTCATCCTGTCTCTCTTCCCACATCATCAGAGAGGAAAAGCTCTTTGTTTTAGAGGAAGAGAAAACAAAGCATCTTATTTTCTTTTAAAAAAATTTTAAACCATGGAAAAGATATTTTTAAAGAAATCCACCCAGAACATTAAAGTTCATTATATTAAGTATTTATCATGTGTGAGAATAATAAGTATATAACTGCAGCTAGTAGGTCCCTTTCCCTATTCTCTTAGGTTGTATGAGTAGGATTTGCTTGGTGCCAGTCCTGTGCCCTTTTTTTCTCCTGTCATCTGTAGTTGTGATCAGAAAAAGATATCCGCACTGCGCTGTCAGAATCTCTTTCCACTGTGTTGTGTGTTAAATTACCGTAGCTCTTTGTTTCATGAAATAAACTGTGAATTTTGTTGGGGGGTGGGGTGTGCAGGCTATGTAAAATTTTTAAGTGGAGAAGTTTGATCCTGAAGGAGCTTCTCTTATGTAGGCTTTGGTAGGTAATTGACTTGACAGCCACTCTAGATAGTCTCACAGGACAGGAAGGAGTGAGGGAAAGGTGGGCCACTTTGTGGTTTTGTTTCAGTTTTTTCCATTCTCCCATTCACTGGAAAGCTTCCTTCCAGACCTGCGTAGGAAACAACTTCTGAAGCTGTTTATTTAAATGGATGGACAGCCAGCCTGGCTTTCTTGAGGGCCATTGTAAGACTCTCTTAGGTTGATTGGAAATTAGATGTTCAACTCTCAGGCCCACTGATAGCATTTGATACTAGATTGTTAACATCACGAAAGCAGTAACTATACAATTAGAAGCAGGGTCGGAAGGACTTTTGGGAAGTGAGACTCTTGCATGACCCTTTGGGGGGGGTGACCTTGCCATCCTTTGGGGATTCTCCTGGAACCTATACTGAGATCTTTTCTCCAGGGGGTGTGACTTGGCAGTTAAAAGGAAATCTTTACTCTTAGAAACTCCTGATCTTTGTGTAGGATGGTATTTTGGCATTTGGCCAAGTGCTTGTAAATCAGGATCTCAATAGAGCGTCTGCCTCTAAGCCAGTTCCCCAGGAAGCCTTTCTGAGGGGTAAGCCATAGCTTCCATAGGTAGTTAGAGAACTAATACCTGTCCTAGCCCTGTTAAGTCAGAAAAAATTATGGAAACTGTTGAAATTTGAATTCAAAGCCTCATTTGCTTCTCTACTGGAGCAAACCCATTCTAATAGCAAAATAGTTGTCACTGCTACAAAAGCATCCAAGTTTTTAAATGTCTGCTTCCCCCTGAAGTTACTGAGTTTGAAGTGATTTAAATCACTGTGTTGATCCTCTTCTGAACAACTACCAAATCTACATCTTTAGCATTGATGAAAATAATTATTCTATTTTTTACATCCTCCACCCCACACTACAGTCAGGGCATGAAGTGCATCAGTGATCCTTTTCCAGGCTTGGCAGCATCTACTCACAGGAGCTGGACTCCCAGGTTGCCTCGTGAGAACAGAGTGGCAGGAAGGAAGTCTGGTCCTGGCAGCTTCCCCTGTGGAGAAGAATCAGGAGAGCACTAAATGTGGATGGATTTTTTTTTTTTTTTTTTCCCCCATCAGCTCCTATAAAGCGGGTTTTCTCCTAAGGCTTTTTTGGGGGACACTGTCATCCTCTTGGGGCCTGCTGAATAATGTTTGGGCTGTTCCATGTGTTAGACATTCCAGATCATTTAGAGCTGGGTAGCTGCTGCACGAGACTTTGCTTGGCTGTGGACAGTTAGCTCTCAGCTGAGCTTCCTAGAGTTAGTGCAGCAGGGCCAGAGGTTGCTGTAGTATAAATTGAAAAAAAGAATAGGTAATTGCTTTGTACACACAAAAAAAATGCAATGATGGTGCTAATTTCCTGGTATAAATAAGCACTGCCAAGGGTTGAGGGACTGGTGACTTGAGAAACCCAGATTCCTGTTTGGGAAGAAGAGATCTTATGTAGTTTCCTTGAGGCTTTATTAGAGGAGGGGAAGGTAGAGCCTTGGTGAATCTTGCATCTGACCCTGAAATAGTCCAGTGCAGTCCAGAGGTGGAAGAGATGCTGTTTCCAGATGAGGGTGGCCATTGAGTTTCTCAGGGCTGGTGTCACCTTGTCCGTAGCCTCTGTCCACACTGCCTGAACAGGTTGGTAGAGAGCTCCAAGTATGGGGTCTCCCTCAGCTACCTTCTGCCCCTCTCTACCTCTTCCACTCTCATGGGAGCACCTCTATTGCTTATGAAGATTAAGGGTAATATTTCTTAAGGAAGTGGAAAGAGTTTATTTTAATTAGAAATCCACAGCCTGGCGAGAAATGTTTCCTATCAACATAAGCAAAAATAGCACATGTTAAACTCATATGGTCCCTTTTCTAGAGCTACTTTCCCATGACTCTCAAAACATCAGGCTGTTGAGGGCTTCAGGTGTAGCACCCTGGAAATCGAGCAAAGCTTTTTGGACAGTAGGTGAGCCTAGGGAGTTAGGAGCAGAAATGAGTGGTTCTGGTGCTTTAGACTTCCAGGGTAGGGGCAGAGAACAGGTGGTCTCTAGGTCTGAGGTGGGTGCTGCCTGTGTGTGCATGTAGGTGAGAGTGTTGAAGACGGGCGAGTGCAGCACACAGGAGCTCATGGAAGAGCAGCTAAGTCTTGGCAAAAAAACAAGCTGACAATAGAGATCTATCTTTATATTTTTAAGAAAGGGGCAGAGGGGGTGTCAGCTGAGGTCCATCACTTTTTTTTGCCCCCCTTCACCCCAATAGATTGTCAGTGATAAGTGGAACTCTTAGTGAAAAAGAGGGGAGCCCTGTGCTAGGAGTCCCCATAAACATGTACTGTAATTCTTTGTATATAGAAAAAAAATTACTGTAAAGTAAAGTTTAACTTTACTCTTATGGCCCTTGCCCTGTGTTTTGTTTTGTTGTCCGTGGGGAGATGTAGCCTAACAGGAGGGAGGATGGGTTTGGGGTGAGAGCAGAAGCCAGCCCCTGAGGTAGTTCCCAGGGACACGGAACTGAGCCCTTCCTCCAAGCACCTTATGGGAGTGGTGTGGATTTCCTCCCAGTAGCCACAGCTGTCGGAATGTCTTTCTGCTGCTTTGGGGAGTGGCTGGCATCAGTTTCAGTCCCTACACAGGAAGCCTCCATCACCCACGAAGGAAGGGTATTTTGAGGTTTTTAAAAAGGAAGTGGAACCAAAGCACTTTCTGAGTGTGAGTCTAGACATTTTGGCCAAGTTTTTAGTTTTTTAGAGCAGGTGCTGGGCAGTGCAGAGGACTCGGCCTAGGCCTAAAATGGTAAAGTGAGGCAAAGGGGCTGAGCATCCCATAACAGAAAAAGGCTGCCATATGCTTCCTTTTGGTTGAAGGGTTGGTCCTGTCTACAGTAACATCTGATTCTTCAGAAATATCTGGACGTCCAAGGCCCAAAAATACACTTTCAGGAAACCCTGGGAATCTGCTTCCCTTCTGACTTAGTCCTGAACTTTC